ATGTGAGGATTCATCATGAAATTGGCTAGTTTTACCTTGGCTGCCATTGTACGGAAACCCTCCTCCTTTATCCGGGCTTAGGACCGGCAAAGTGAGCAGACTCACATTGGCGGATACCAAAATTAGAGTGCTTTAGTTAATTCTATATGCAAGAATCCTCTTTAGGACCTTATGACTTGCATCATCTAAAAATGTGTTGATAAAGGAAAATTAAAAGAAAAAGTAAAATAACACAGAACACTTGACATTAGGCGTATTCGGTATGATCAAAATGTTTTCTTCGGAAAATATTTTCCGTTAAAAATATTTTACCTTGAAAATTAGTTTTTAGATCAATTTCCAGTGTTTGGTAATAAAAACTAATGCATAAAGGGGGACGACTGGGTAAAAGAACAATATTGTTTTGATGACAATGTTCCGGTCCAGCTTGTGCGCACCTTGACCATCTCATTTGTACCTATTACCTCTCACTTAAGCAAATAGGAAGAAATCATCAGGTGTTTATTGTGTTAGCACTTTTAAATATTAAATGTTGAAAAAAATGTAAAATAAGTCGCAGTAAAATATTTTCCAGAAAAACATTTTCGGCCATATCTGAACACATTATGACGGACAAAATCACAATCACATAACTGAAAATTCCATATACAAGAGTATAATCAGCCGATAAAAACAAAACAAAAATTGAAGGAAATATTAAAATTCTGTAGCAGAATCTTACCCCACGTTTAGGATTAATAGGAGGATTAATATCAGCAAAAAGATACTTAAAAAATGCGTCAAGATGAAGACCTCTCCGATGAAAAATATTAAGGATCTTAAGGTCATGAAGATTATTCATAATACCCTGAGCATCCTCTATACTCGAATTTTCCTCCTTCTGAACCTCAATTAAGAATCGTTGAAGGTTCTCTGCATTCATCACTCCGTTATCGGAATATTTATTGAATAAATTCTTCACATCCGCCGGAGCCTCAGCGGCGACTACCCGGAACCGCCGCCGGAAACAGAAACAGACTCTGTACGTCTGTCTCGACATTGTTTGAAGGAGAAAACGGGAAACGGAAAACGGAGAGGAATGAGTTTTTGACGATAGGAGAAATGCTTTATGTGATTGTGAAGATAAACGGTTTTTTTGCTTAGGAAGATGGGAAGGTATAAAAGTTTTGGTGGTTATTACGCGTATTAAAAAAAAAAATGCATGTTTAAAGGATTAATCAAATATTTTTCGTTGATTTACAGGAGTAGGGTGGGGACCACCAGCAGAGTAGTTTTAATTTTATTGGGCCACGTTGATACTTTGGGATAATATTTTTTGGGGGGATATGATACACGTGTCTCCATGTGGTGAATGTGTAGCTAGCCTCCTTTGGAACCTCCAACTAGACGGAATTTTATGTGGGGGGGGGTTTGGGGTGGTGATGGGGGTTTCATATTTTTAAACCCGTAATCGTTATAATCTCTGTCACAGTTTTTACTTTTCGGCTAAGCACTTTGTGTGTATTAGGTAAATGTCGGGAGGTTCTTATTTTGATGATATGAATTTGCTAGATTTTTTTGTTCATTCTTACTTTTATGTTGACAAATCATATCCAACATGAAATGAGTAGACTGCACCTGCCTATATATTTTGGAGGGGGGAAGGGTCCAAATTTAGAACACTTAACTATTGACTATGATCAAAATTACACTCAAGTTGGAACCTCATTAGAAGTCAAGGGTAAAATGAGACTTTCTCTTAAGCACGATAATATTAGATCAAATGTCAAATGAAGGGGTAAAGTTTCTCAATTTCGATTTGTACTGTTGAACAATAACAAATTTGACCATTTTTTAGAAAAATAATTATTTGGGATTTAGTGCATGTATCAAATCATGGTAGTATATCATGATTAAATGATAATAATAGTAAATACTTATTAATTAATTGATAAACTTTATGTAAAACCCTCATTATATCAGTTATTACTTCCTGCAACCAAAGATGAAGAAGTAGAGCCATCAGTTTCAAAACAACCCTTTGGGCATTAGTCTTCCAAAATTCCTTTCTTTCTGCTCCTCTTTCTTTTTTTATTTTGATTTTTTTCTTGCTTACTTAGAAAGTATAGTATTTGCAATAAATTTGTGCAGAAAAATAAAACTTCAATCACAAACAACTATAAAGAAAAAAGGATTTTATTGATAAACATTACGGGTTACAACTCTGTTTATCCCTTGATTTTTTCATCCGATTTGTTATCCGTAATTCGAGGCCATAGCAGCGTATTTCTCGAACGTAGGATAATATGCATTTCCTTTATGTATTTGATGATCAAGAAGCATGTAGCAACACTCCATTTGGATCTTGAATGTTGCTAGAACTTTGAGCAAGACATATTTGACATGTCTTTCTCTTAATGAATCTTCCAAGAGTTTTATAAAATTTCGGAGATCGTATATTTGATCTCTTTGTGCATATTCCGGGAGTTTATGGAATTGTTGAGACCGTCTTTAAAGAACATATGTAATCTTATTTATAGGCATGAATTAGGGTTTGAATAGAATAGTCATCAAGTAACCTTAATAAACTCCTAATATTTCAAGAGTCATCTTGAATTTAATATTTATCTTGATGTATTAAAATTTCAGTGTGTACATATAGTACTTAACTTTCCTAATTAGCTTCAAAGACCGAACTTTACATGTTTGAATTAATTAAAATTTAAATATATTTTGTCGAATAACAAAAGAAATAAAAACTGAAATAACATAATAACGCATGGATTCCTTCTCCCTTTCTTTGATTATCGGTTGAGTCAGTTTTATCAATACAAAGACTTGACAAAAAACTTTCATTGACAATCACACCCATTTCGTTCCCAAACTTATCTTCTTTTTAAGTCCCCAAACTGCCGCCTCTCTTCTTATTCTGAATTCTGGTTGAGTTTTGATTATGTTTATCGACTCTAACATAGTTGAAAAGAAACAATATTGGAAAGAGGTTAAAACAGTCATGGATCTAAATCTTTTTTAATCATTGATATTCTGTGGTTGCTTAGTTCAAATGTTTTTTTTTTTGGTGTGTAGTAAACTAGCTTTTTTGTTTTTATGCTTGTGATATTTGGATTACTGAATACCATAGAATTAACATATGAAGAACAACATATGATTTAATATCTTCATGGCTAATTAAAATGAATAGATCATATCGCACATATTATGAATTGAATGCATGCTTCTATATTGTTTTTTGTACGACTTCTTCGTGTTCTTATTTGATTTTTTTTGTGAGTGAATCTCCTACTTTTATTAGAACAGTTTTAGTCTGATTTTATTTACTGTATTAGCATTAAATTTAATTAAAAATCAATGCGACACACCTTTTCGATAATATAGTAGAATCAAAAATAAAAAAATTGTGAAAGGGTGTTGTATTTTGTTGTTTGTGGATTCTGAGTGTTTATGTGTAAATTCATTTTCATGTGCATGCAGGTAGTGGAGAGTATGTGTAAAGATGCCATGTAAAATCGGAATTGTAATGAAATTATCAGATGGTGCGATGTAAAAATAGTATTACTAATGTGTGAAAGTATCTGCGAGTATATAATAAACATGTAATTATATATGTGAATATATTTTGTGGAGAGTTAATTAATGGCATAAAAGTATGGATTTGTTATGTGCAGGTACAGCTTGTGTGAGCTGTTAGGGAAAGAAACAAACTCTCTAGCCAATTACAAACAAGGTACGCAAAGTTTGGTGTTTGTTTGTAAGAAACTTTCAAAGTTTGATGTTTGTTTAGAATGAATTTTCAAAAATTTATGCTGCACTTTAAAGAATATCAATGTGAACAGAAAGAGCGTTGATCATGACAGAGCAACCATAATGAATGAAAGGGATATACACCAAAAATATCGTATATGAGGAAGTATTAAATAAGCTACATTTAATTACATGTTTGTTTCTCGTAAAATAAAAATACTCAAAAGAATCACATGTATCTAATAAAACTTTGATTATTCATCTTTATAGGTTCACATGATATCCAATCTTCACTTTGACAAACAAGTACATGATCCATATTAATCAATCACATAAAATTATACTTTATATTTTCATATATTTTACTCAAAATAATAATATTGGTATTATTTTGCGAAACCATATATAATATGACTTAGTATACATGTGCGACGCACGTGCGAAAAAACTAGTAGGATAAAAAATCGGAGAAATATGATTCTCCTTAACTTTTGACCCATGTTTATCCCACGGGAAGAACTTCAAGATTAAAAGTTAAAAATATTGTTAATGGGACATATGCGAGGGCAGAATTCGTTAAACTTAAAGTTCTGTGATGCGGGGAAAAAAATTTAAGACTATCCACCTTATTGGCTATTTTTGTACTTCACCCTTAGTAGGAGCCCAGACCCCAGCTCTATATTTTAATAAAAACGTCGCCTAATTTTTCTATTACTGATTGTAAAAGCTGCATTGCTTCCACTTTTTATCATTACCTTTTGCACACCGAGCTAATAAAAGAACCATTCCTTGGAAATTCCTGGTAACAGGAAAACCGAGAATTTAGAGGAAAGAATCTGGTAATTTGGGTTAATGAAATACGCAAAGAACAGTTTTGCTTAGGAACAAGGGTAGGAATGATTATTTTGGTTGTTACACTTGGAAATATATTATAACATTTTTTCAGCTAAGTGGTAGTAGAATATTCTGTTGATTTCCAGGAATACATTGGGGCCTATCCCAAAGTATACAAACAACGGCTTTACTAAGTCCGGTATTTATTTTATTCTGAAAACTTAAACTAAAAATCTCAAATTTAAGATATTTTTGTCCTGGAAAATTTAATTTGAAAACTAAAATTTAGGACACATTGGCTAATTCTTAAATAGCAACCCTTTAAAGTGACTATCTAACGTCATTTCTAAGCTATTTTACTATGATTGAGCCAGGTATGTGTATAATACTAGTAATCCTACTTATTAGAAGAGGGAACACAGGCACCTCTCCGTCAATGTGTGTGTTCGCTTGAATTTTCTACTTTGTTTGCTGACTATTTTTTGGCCAACGCGTGGACTCCCAATTCTTCAAACCTAAAAACTCCATTCAACACTTGTTAGAAGCATCCACTTCCAAATTATTCCACATGAAGGAAAGAGGGCAGCATCAATTGCCCCAAAATCCAGCAGACCTCACATAATAATTCAACGAAACATCTACCACAAAGAGCAGGTTTATTCCAATCACTCCAGCATTTCATTTTATTTGTGCTTTCTGTTCTACTTTTTCTTCTTCCGCAAAAAAGATCAGGTCTTTGGGGTTTTGCCTTGATTATCAATCTTTTCTTCAGTTTAGTCTTAAGATTCATTTCAGAAAGGTGAAAACAAACTAAGGTTGGGTTCTGATTTGTTCTCTATTATTAATTTGTTTATTTTGAATTTCTTACGTGACTTCTAAGTTCTCTTCATTTTTTTTTCTTCTATTTTACTTTCTTTAAAAGATTGGTCATTAAAAGACTGAACCCCAACAGGTTATTGCATATCTATTATTTATACCAGTAGAATGAACAATAAAATTTGTTACTTAGGGTCTGCTGACTCCTTTTTTGGTTTGAATGTTATAAATGCAGTTATCTTGTGGTAATAAGCTTGTGAAAAAATGTATTCCGGACAAAGAAACAAACCAAATTTGCATATGCTTGTTAATCGATCTCTGTCCTTCAGAGTTAGATTATAAACTTCATGTATACCGGGAGATGAAGACAAGTAGTACTTGGAACAAAAAAAAGAGGTAAAAATTGCTACTCCTTATAGATAGCTATTTTGTATATGAATTATTTCCAGTAATGTTAGATTGAATGTTTAGTTACATGAAAATCTTAGTTTTGTCGTGCTGCTTCTTGAATTTATCCTCAAAAAGAGAAAAAAACGGAAGTTAATTGGTCAGCACAACTGAAGTCTAAGTAGTGTTCTCAGTTTGTTAAAGCATCTGTTATTTTTATTTTACTATTTTAAAAATATACGCTCTAGCGAAACCAATAACTATATAGATTCAAAATTGATGCAAAAAGGAGAAGTTCTCTACCTGAGAATATCAAGTGTAATTTTTTATATTTAAGGTTATGATTTTTATGCCAATTAAATGTACCTGTTGTATCCTGATATGTGTCTGTTTACCTCAGGGGCGGATCTACCTTATGAGGTAGGGGTACCACGGCACCCGCTCGCTTCAATAAAATCCTTACTACGTACATAATATCTCTGTGAAGAAACGTATATATGGATAGAGTGACACCTAGAAGTCACAAAGTGAAAGCGGGTGTCATTGGTTTAGCCTTCCCTTTGAAGGCTTTCTTTGGCCTCATGAATGCAAGTTTGATTCCCTGTTGGAGCAGCTCCTTTGATTTTTTATTTTTTCTACTTATTAAGATTTTCTTTATTTTCAATTGAGCCCTAGGGCCTCACCTCTTTTCCTTCTTTTTCGGCTCTTTCCCTCCTTATCTTACTTTTATTACTTGCTAAGTCTCTCTTCTTCATTTTTTTAACTTTCAGTCCTCATTTTTTTTTTCTATCATTATACCTTACTTTATGAACAATTATTTTCTATAGGTAATTTGAATTGATTTTAATTAGCATATAATTTTTTTTTATTTTTAATGAAACGATATTAATTTATATATTGAAATATAATTTGAGCAATATCTTCTATTGGGTTTTGAAAAAAAAATTAAATGGCTTGATTGATAGTCGTTTTGAGTCAAATATCATAGGTTGAATGTTGAAGGTTTTTCTTTGAAAATAATTGTCATATAACTCAACAATTAAGATAGAAAAATAAACAAAAAACAATACAAGTAAATTAATCTAGTCAAACAAAGAATATATAGTGTAGTTAAGCTACTCTTTAAGCAAATATTTATATTGGAGGCGCTCTTTCATGAAATATTATTTTTCTTTTGCATTTTTATTTAGAATGTGTTTAAATTAAGCGTTAAAAATTTGAACTAAAATAACTTATTTTTTGTGAATAAAATGCCTATTCAAATTAACCAAAAACTAAGGAACCGACCCATTATTCCTAATTTGTCTTTGTAGCTACTGATATGTATACTGTATGCATAACATGGTGGCACCCGCAACCTTCGAATCCTGGATCCGCCTCTGGTTTACCTTATTGTTCAACCTACCTGGGCTACTGTTTGTCGAATTTACAATAGAAATATAGTAAGTGATAATTTTGTTAATGTTTGAAAGTGAAGTTTTTGTAGCGACAATGCTTGGTGAACATGTTGATGAGATTTGAATTGTTGGGAGTATCTACCATAACTATGTATCAGCATAAATTTCAACAGTTTCTATCCCTGAATTTCTTTACAACGAGGCATTTGAAATCACCTTTTGTGGGTTCCAATCATAATTTCCTTAAAACGTTGATTAATTTATACTATACTATCAATGCATAGTATTGATAAGTCGAGTTAAGCATAATGTAGTGATGGCATAAAGTGGCTAATTTTCACCCCAAATTTTGGCCTTAAAAACTTTCAATCATGACCAAGTCGAATAGCTGCCCCGCCAGAACTTTCTTTTGCATAACTTTTAATCTTTTAATATCCTTAGTTATAGATGCAATTTTGGACTTTGGTTCGACTCCTACTCTGGATTTCTGTATATATAGTTAGGACTAACAGGTAAATATTCCTGATTTGGGAATTTTCCTGAAATATTAAAATGTACTGCACAATAAATTAAATATAAAGCACTCAGAATATTTAAAATATTTTTCTGATTATTTAGTCTTCCATTGTGGCAATTTGCAACAGATTGCTCTTCGAATTTTTGGTTTACATGATTAGAGGTGTAAACCCAGATGGTCCCTTATGACATTTTCTCTACACAGGCAAACTTACATGTCTGCACAACTGAGTATCATTTCATTTTTCTAATTTTCTTCGACATTTAATTGTTGCATTTCCTCGAAAGACCCGTGTCAGTATTAATTAAAATAATTTTCTTTAAAAATTAATTTAGCCAATCCTTATTCGTCAGCAAAATGTTTATGCTTGAATGAACCACAAATAGAACTACAGTACAAATTAGAAGAAATAATGACTATCACCAGCCCTACAATATTGATAATTGATAAATGATCATTAAAGGAACAAAAAAAATGATTCAAAAAGATCTTTAAGTCTAAGGAAGGACATTGTTCTGGATATGTAAATTTATAATAGTGTTGACCTACATGTTTACATCTTGTCCACGTTTCTATGTTTTTATTTTTTGATAAATTTAGTTGGAAATATAATGGCCACACTATTTTGATTTCACAGGTTCTTCAAAATGCTGGCCTGGGAAGCAGAAACAATGCTTCTACTAAAATAAAATACATGACTTCGACTAAAATAGGTGATTCTGCACTTCTTTAGTCTATTGTCATATGCTTATTCATAATGCTAAATAGTTATGCTTTATATTTCATGTTATTGTGTTAATATGTCTCTACTTTAGTAATAAATTTATATGCCTACAAATAACAGAAAGATGGACAACGCAACGTTCATATCTTGGTGGAAAAAATAGTGATAAATGCCTTAGACAACATATATCACATGGAGAGAAATGGTACATAATTAATTTTCCATAAGACTCTTAAACATCATAAGATTTGATGCTATAGAAAAACATTCATTAACTTCTAGCACTAGCAAATATTTTTATCTCAGCTATAATGGTTCCTTATACTTCGACATGGTACAAATATATAAATTTGATATTTTTAGGTTAAGACAATAATTCAACTTTACTTCAGTCTTTAAACAATTTTTTTTATGTTAAATCAAAAATTTATAAGCTCCTTGGGCCCGGGCTACCGCCAACTAGTATTTAAGAAGAGGGAAATGTGCTGCATGTGTCTCCACCTTTATCTATTGTACATTTCAACTCTAGGAACAATTCCTAGAGTTGTACCGATAAATATTCACATTCCATAAAATGCTCTTGGAATTTTTTCGTGATTTTTGTCCAAATTTATTAACAAATGGCCAAATATTAATAACTTTGAAAAGCTGGCTAAAACTTAATATCAGTCTAAAAATAGGTATTTTCCAATTTCTTGTAGAAATGACACTAGGTAGCCACTCTAAAGGGCTATTATTTAAAAATTAGCAAATACGTCCTGAATTTTAGTTTTAAAGTACTGACTAATCTCTAAACAGCTTCCTGAGAATGGTTATCTATGCCCTTGCCCCCAATTTCTTCCATTCATTAACCGCGGATTACGTCCAAGATCTTTTGCAGTCGGCCCATTGCCTAAATGCATTTAACCAGCAACGGAGTCACGGCCCACTTCGCTGCACTAAGAATTGCTGGTAAAAGTTGGAAGGCCCAAACAGAACTCATTTCCAGAAGAAAATTAACTGAAATAGTCATCCATCCAACCGCTTCAACTAAAAATAGCCGGTGAAAGTATAGTATAAGTATAATTTATATATTATATATGTATAATTAATATATAAACTATGTATATGGTTAGAAAAAAATAAACAATGAATATGGAGGGCTATTTGTGTAAACATTTAGCAGCATATGATAGTGCCTAGATAGTCAGTGGCCCAAAAGCATATAGACAAATTTAGGATTTAATCAGAGTTAATAAATTCTGAATGAGTGTAATCTTATATGTATATGTTTAATTCACATTTTTATTTATACAAAATGTAAAATTCTTTGAATCGATGAAAATAATAAGTTCAATTGAACCTAAAGAATTAGCTCTAACTCTGTCTTTGCTAGATAAGAAGAGCAAGGGCGTATGTAGCATTAAGGTGATAGGTACAACTGAATCCATAACTTTTGATGAAGATCATAAATTTATATATAAAAATAGTAGATATGAACTCATAACTTTACAAATATAATAATTTCAATGTTAATCATCTTAAATTTTGAATCCATAAAATTTAATCCTAAAATCCTCTCTCAAAATAAATAAATAAAAAGGACAACTCGATGCAGTAAGTTAAGTTATACACGAGAAAACAATATGCATTTCTCAAATACTAGAAGAAGACAGGGTTGGTAGAATGGGGCTCACAATTATTCCACGTAGTAAAACATCTCTGTGTGTAATTCGTGTACGTGGATATCGTTCCTATTTTTTTAAGTGAAACTTTGGCTACTCCTCTTTAATTTCTTCCATTTGTATAACAAGACAAGAAAAATACTGATTGAGATGATAGATCAGTATCGCATTTAATTTGGATCGTAGTATCTGCTATTCAGTTTAGATTAATTAGTAGAGTATAAGATTCTTTTTGTATAATTACGTGTCTTAGTGCTGACGAATTTCCCAACAGTTCACTACACTCAAAAGTCTCATTCGGGGATTTTAATCAAATATTGAGATAAGGTTTCGACGGCGTCTCTATCATATTGTTGATATATTATGAGAAAACGACACTTACAAATTCCAATAAAATCTATAAGACTGTTACTCTCTATGATCCACTTTAATTGATTTTTTAATTTTTTTTTTATGATTCATAATATTTGATTTTTCATATATAAAGAAGGAGTTAACTTTTTTTAAAAAAAACAAAATTGCCCTTATTAGAGTAAAGAGCCTAGGAGTATTTTAATTAAGGTTTCAACATCAACAAACCTAGTATAATCCACATAATGGTGTCTGGGGAGGATATTGTGTACGCAGCCTTACCCCTACCTTGTTGAGATAGAGAGGTTATTTCCAATATTTTAATTAAGATTAATATGGTCAATTTCATTGTTAATTAATGCTAAAAAGTAAATTTTTTAATACGTGAAAATAATAAAAAAAAAAATCAATTAAAGTGAATTGGAAAAAGTATTATTTGTTATATTTCAGATCCATGAAAAAGATAAGAGACAGTCTTTAAGGCTTGTTACACAATTGAAAAGAGGATTTGTTATGGGAAATGTGTTTTTGTGTTTCGTATAACTTGAAGTTGAACAAAGATTGGAACTTTCAATTGGTTTTGTTTTTCCTAATATTCCTAGACCTGAAAGATGCTTATAACATTAGAGCTAGCTAATACAGTTGACATCTTTGCTCAATTTATTTATATGGACAAATGAAACAACATAAAACGATACCCTTACATTGAGGTCGAAAGTGAGACTATCAGGCCACTGACCCCTAATATCATTTAGGAATTTTTACCTAGCTATACTATATTAGAAACTATACCCAGAATCTCCATCTTCTCTCTTCCCACCATTGCCGACAGCTTTATATTATTAAAAAATCGTCAATTGCATCGTTCTTTTGTTGGGAGACTGGACAACAACACTGAAAATGAGGAAATATTCAGAAATTGTATGATAACTGTATCATAATTGTATTTGAACTGTATCAGATACAACAATGCCTAAAACATAATTGTATCATACTTGTATCACAATTGAATCTAACTTGTATGTGGTACATTAATACCCAAAATAATACCTGATACAATACTAATACATTAATATATAATTATCATATATTTATGATACAAACTGTAAAATATGTCACGAACTCACAACTGCTCATAACAATATACAATAAATATACAATTATCATACATTTGTTATACAATTCCTTCAACAATTATGATATATATATAGAATTATAATACAATCGCGATACATTTCTGAAAAATTGTGATACAACTATGATCTTCATCTTCTTCAAGTTTCAATCACAACTCTACATTAAAAATCTAATATAATCGTATTAGTATTGTATCAAGCATTGTTTTGGGTATTGATGTATCATATACAAGTTATTTTAGAAAGAAAGAAAATAAGATTCAAAACTTACCCACATGATTGTAGAGCAATATTCTGAATTTCGTCTACATTGTATCAATAAGAAATAGAGATTTTGGGTGATTAGTAAGAAAGAGAGAAATTTGGTTTGGAAATCTTTGGAAAAGGAAAAGAATTAGAAATTCGGGGGGAGGGGTTTGAGGGGGGGGGGTATAAAAATAAAAGAGAGATTTTAGGTGATTATTAAGAAAGAGAGAAAATATTTTTGACATCCTTTGGAAGAGAAACATAATCTTAAATATGTGGGGGCTTATTGAAAATTGGGTGGGTGTCGTGTAACTAACACGCTAAAATTGAGGGATCTTGATTTTTTTTTCTTTTTTATGGTTTTGTATATAACTTATAATTATAGATATACAAAGTAATTAATAAGGAATCTAAATAAGGGTGGTAAATAGGTTTATTATAGTATAGCTAGGTAAACATTTGTCAGTTTTAATTTTGTTGGGCTTTCGGAATACACAGCCTCAGGCCCAAAGCAGAAAACATGTGTGAGGCCCAATTATTTATTCTGTATATAGTTAGTCGTAGCTACTCTTTGTAACACTTAGCCAATTTATTTTGTAGCCATTGTTTATAATGTGTACTCAATTTGTAAGACATCTAGACCGGGTTATTAGGTTGATATAAATACATAAGGGCCCAGCTGTACTAGGCAGGCCGTGCACTATTCAGTTATTTTTTTCGTGTTCTCTCTGTTACTATCTGATGAGAAAGATCTAGAATCCCTAAGCGACCATTAACAAATCCCTCCATTTTACTCGATTCTTCTACTATTAACATGGTATCAGAGTGGTGAACCCGTTAGTCCTCGTCTTTTTCTATCGAGCCGTGTTACCTCTATCAGTTTCTGTTAAGTTTGATTTTCATCGTGGCTTTGAGATATCTCTTATTTTCGATCGAAGATTCATTTTTGTGGCTTTGCCTTCTCCTATATGTCATCGGTAAAGCAGTGGTGCTGGTTTAAATTGAGATTTTCTGGTATTCATCGGAGTTTTATATGTTCTGCTCCGACCTAGGGTTTATCTGCAGTTAATCAGAGTTTCGTCGGAGATATTGCTCACGTATCCAGGCCTTTACCTCTTCAGGTCGTGAAGAAGGCTGGTATTCCTATTCCTTATCCGTGTTATTGTACCTGAATTGTTCATCATATTCTGTGGTTCTAGGTGTTGAGAATTATTGTCAATTATTTGTTGGGTTAAAACTTCTCACTTGAATTGTTGTTCAACTACATTTGCTACCATGACTGGTCCTATTGATTCTTCTACTGGTGCTAGTGGATCCTCTAAGTATACTCCAGATCCTTCATCCCCTTTATTTCTCATCTCTTCTGATGTTCCCGGAGTGTCTCTAGTATCTGTTCCATTTTCAGGAACTGGTTTGGAGGTTGGAGACGTAGTATGACAATATCCTTGTCTGTTAGAAATAAAATAGGGTTTATTGATGGGTCTTGTGTTAAGCCTGATATAACTTCACCTGAGTATAAACAGTGGGATAGATGCAATAATATAGTTATATCGTTGCTGACTAGTTCATTATCTCCGGACATAGCTGAAAGTGTCCAATATTCTAAGACAACTGAAAGTATTTGGAAACAAGTAAATAGTAGATATGGTAGTGTGAATGGGACTAAAGTATTTGAATTAAATAAAGAGATTAATTCTACTTATCAAGGCTCGCTGGACATTACTTCATACTTTAACAAACTTAAGAAAATATGGGATGAACTGGGGGTAATGTGTAGTGGTCATGCAAATTTATGCATTTGTGCTGCTAAAGAGGGTCTTCAAAAGGAGAAAGAAGAGGACACAATTCATTTATTTATTATGGGACTTAATGAAGTATACGTGGGTGTTAGAAGCAATCTGTTGATGATGCAACCATTACCATCTCTAGATAATGTTTACAACATTCTTCTCCAAAATGAAAATAGAGGCAAATTAGTCCAACACTTCCATTTGCTTCTGAGTCAGCTTCTTTAATGTCAATTCTGGTACAAATAAGTTTGTTCAGCCTCAACCTAACATTCAATTTCAGGGACATCAAAGACAATTCAATCAGAGAGTAAATTTTGAATAATCTAAAGCTAGTACCTTTTGCAAATATTATAAAAAATCTGGGCACTCAATTGATAAGTGCTACAAGCTTAATGGGTTCCCTCTTAACTTCAAGTTTTCCAAAGGAAGAAAAACAGCTTCAAATGAGGTTATAGATTCTCATTCTTCTGCTCTTGAGCATCTTACTCCCAATCAGACACCTCTTCATGATGCGGCTACTACTGATCATGATTCTATAATACCTAGTCTTACTAAACAACAATATTCTCAGCTGATCTCACTGCTCCAGCAAACTAACGTCTCTGATATTGGGCCTCAACTCAACGTCATGAGTTCTGCCAATTTTGCTGGTACAGTACTGCCTAAGAATGTAGTTTATAGTTTCAAATCTACTTTGCTGAGTAAATCAGATTCTCTGACTTGGATAGTTAATTCTGGTGCATCCCACCATATGACTTTTAATAAAGACTTTCTTATTAACATTACTCCACTACCTATTCCTTTTCTTGTCTCTCTTCCAAATGGTTCTAAAGTTAAGTTTACCTGCACAGTTCCTTTGTCTTGGCTGAATCTATCATTCTTCAAAATGTTCTTTATCTTCCCTTTTTTGAGCATGATCTAATCTCAGTACATAAGCTTACATAATAATTTGATTGCATAGTTCAGTTTATTAGACTTTCATGCATCATGCATGGCCCTTCTCTGAAGAAGCCTCTGGATCTTGGTAAATTGGACACTGGATTGTACAAGTTTGTATGGGAGAAACCTTCCCAAAATCAGGCTACCCTGTCAAATGTATGCAGCGGCTTGTCATCCATGTGTGATTCTAGTTCTTTTCCTTATTCTGTACATAGTGTCTCTTCCACCTGTAATAAAGCTGCTATGAATAAAACTGATATTATTTGAAATCATAGGCTTCCTCATGTTTCTTTTGCTAAGATGAAAATTATCCCTAAAATATCTTCTGTTATTTTATCTACACAGTCTTTTCCATGCACTATTTGCTCAATGGCTAGGAATACCAGGCTACCATTTCCCAATCGTTCTATTCATAGTTCTAAACCTTTTAAACTTATCCATGTTGACACTTGGGGGCCATACCACACTCTTACCTAGTCTGGTTCTAAATACTTTCTTACCATTATGGATGATTTTTCTAGAAGTACATGGACCCATTTAATGGGGTCTAAGAGTAATATTTTTTCCCTTTTGAAAACTTTTGTTACAATGGTTAAGACTCAGTTTCATGTTACCATCCAGAAAGTAAGATCTGGCAATGCTTTAGAACTGGGAGCTAGTAATGCTGCTATTGCTTTTTTCTGACCAAGGAATTATTCATCAAACTAGTTATCCCACACACCTCAACAAAATGGTGTGGTGGAACGAAAACATAGAATCCTGCTTGAAGCATCTAGAGCCTTACTTTTTCAATTAAAGGTTTCAATAAGGTTCTGGGGTGACTGTTTACTTACAACTACTTATATTATAAACAGACTTCCCTCTCCATTACTTCACAACAAATCCCCCTATGAGTTGTTGTTTGGCAAGGCACCAAGTTACTTTCATTTGAGGACTTTTGGATGTCTTTGTTATGCCATTGTCCTAATTCCACATAGAGATAAACTAAAGCCTAGATCTATGCCTTGTGTCTTCCTTGGCTATCCTTTTCCAAAGAATGGTTATAAATTGTACAATTTGCAGTCTTACCAATGCTTTGTTTCTAGAGATGGTCTCTTCCATGAACATCATTTTTCTTTTTCCCTTGACTTTCCTTTTCTAAAATCATGGCACCAACAACTTCCAAGCTTCCAGTTACTCCTGATCCCCCTTTCTCGCTTGATGATTCTCTTTTTGTTCCTTTATTTGTCACT